ATAACATAATCATATAATTTATTATGTTAAATATTACAACACATATATGATATACCATAATAAAACTTTATTTAAGCGCATAAGGGGGTGATTGTTTACCATTTGTACAGTAATTTTTTTTACTCAAATTCAAATTTAACTCAACTTTAACTCAACCACACTATCTCCAATATTATTATATAATTAAATAACATCAACAAATCATTATTACATATCACATCAACTTTAATTCACTATTCATCTACTTACATAATTTTAATTAATTTTAACTAACTATCACTTCTAATCATTTTCTCTTACTTTTACATCAAATCAACTTTAACTATTTTATTTTAAATACTATTTTAATATATCCACTAACAACTAATCATACCGCTTTTTCTTAAACTTAACCATAATTAAAAAATTTTAGATTTTTTACTATTCAAAACATAAACAATCACCCCTAAGGTATTCAATAGGTATTCAATAATCCAATTTGAATAAGGAATAGATGCTTAAATCTGGGAATATCCATGGGTTCCATCAATCCCAGACTTTAGGCCTCTCTGCTCCAGTGATCATCATAAGAAGTTTGTTTGGGTAAAAGAGCTGCTGGACTGTACAGGTAGGCACTGGAACCTGAAGTTGCTGCAGGAATTATTTAACCCCACTGAAATCTCAGCAATCCTCAGCATCAAAGAACTAGATCCTTCAACACCTGACAGGCTGCTCTGGGACCATGCTTCTAATGGCAAGTTTTCAGTTTCTTCTTCCTATGTTAAGCTAATATCTGAAAAATGGAGGAAGCTTGACCTCCCAGAAGGCAGTAGTATTCAAAAATCAATCACAGCAGCAAGAAAAAGAAACTGGACCCTCAAGGTTAAAAGGAAGCTCAAACACTTCATATGGAGGATTTTTCAAAATGCTCTACCTGTCAGTTGCAACCTGGTCAAAAGAGGTATGAACATTGACAGCACATGTGCAAGTTGTGGAGAAAGCCCAGAAACAATTGAACACCTTTTCTTCTCCTGTCCCAGAGCCAAAGAAATATGGAAACTATCACCTGTGTCTTGGGATGGTCTAATCAATGAAACAGATAGCTTCCAAGCTTGGTGGGAGAAGATTTGTTCACTTGACAAGTCCATCATTTCAGAACATAGAATCCAACTTTCGACATATATTCTATGGTGGATTTGGAAAACACGAAATCTATGGATCTTTAAAAACACTTGGAGACCGGCTAAATCCACTGGGGATGCTGCGCTCAAAAAATGGCAGGAGTTCAACTGGCCGGTCACTCTTTCTTAGTCTCTTTTGTCCTCTTTTGTTCATTTGTTTATTTTGTTGGTTTTGCTAGAGTTACACTAGGCCCATTTAGTGCAGTGGTTGTGCTCTTTTTGAAGTGCCTTGTACATTTAGTTTTGCTAGGCCCGGAAAGGTAGATTCAAGCTATTGGACTCAGCCTTGTTAGACTGCCAAAGCTTGATCTTCACTTCTGCTTTTGTTTGTCATTTTTTCACCTCTTGGTGCTTTCTCAACTTTTTTAGGTTCTGTATTCGGGTTAGTTAACCCGCGGTCTGTAAAAATTTTCCTTTTGAGTTTATTATTATCTATCGTTTCGAAAAAAAAAAAAGAATTTGTATAAAAAAAAATTCATAAATAACTAATATATATACAATATAAAAAAAAAAAAAAGGAAAATAAGTCTTTGGAGTTCACGTTGGCATCAGCTATCATCACCGGAAAAGGAGAAACCCGACAGAGGGATCGGATGGGTGAGCGCGGTGTTTCCGTGGCCGAGGAGCAGAGGCCGGCGGCCGAGAGCCTAAAAAACGACGCCGTTTACAGCTCCAGCGACGCTCCTTCGCCATCTGATCGTCCTGTTCGTGTATACGCCGATGGGATCTACGATCTCTTCCATTTCGGCCACGCTCGTTCCCTCGAACAGGCCAAGAAGCTGTAAATTTTTTGTTTGGTTATGTAATTGACATTTCTTGAGTCAATTTTGATCTCTGTGTTTTTTTTCCTGTTTTGGTTTGGTTTTGGGCTTTGTGTTTGGGGTTAAAATTTCGTGTTTCCATGTGGTTCTAATTCACTTTTTGAACGAAATTATCAGTAAAGTTTCAAACTTTTTGTGTTGGGCTTTGCTTCTGTTCATCTGTTATTTTTATTTTTATTTTTTAATTTTTCCTGGTTGTATAATGGGAGTGTCTGAATGATTATTCTCTCGTTTTCTTATCTTTTTGAGATGAATTCTGTTATACGCTACGCTCATATTGCAAATGTTGCTTGAATCAATAGCTCCTGATGCATGTTGAAGTATTTTCTCGTAAAAATTGGTGCTATTAATGACGATCATACGCGTCTCCTTGTATATTTGTAGGGTCCCGAATACATACCTGCTAGTCGGATGCTGCAGTGATGAGGTCACACACAAGTACAAAGGCAAGACCGTTATGACTGAATCCGAGCGCTACGAATCCCTTCGTCATTGCAAGTGTGTTTCCTTTTACCATTTTTTTTTTTCCTCCCTTTTCCTGGATTTTATGCCTCTGCAAGATTTGAATAGGACGATCTCTCTGTGCTTGTTGTATCTTGATTCTTGATGAGATCAGTCAGTATGAGGTACTTGTAGCCAAGTATTCAGCCTTTTTTCATCATCTTGACTTGAATTATCATCATTTCTGTTATGGCTACATTAGAAAATATCAATGTGTAGATTTTAATAATGACCGATTTGCATGTGGGAGATGAATGATAATGGTGCCCCACGTTGATTGATTGAGTGATTTGACATCTGAGGTCTATCGTTTGGCAGGTGGGTTGACGAGGTTATTCCTGATGCTCCGTGGGTGATTAATCAAGAGTTCCTCGACAAGCACAACATAGATTATGTGGCTCACGACTCTCTTCCGTAAGCCTTTTATCTATAAACATTAAGCTTTGTAGTGCCGTTGCTTAATACGAAATTGGTGGATCGTACATTGGTACAACATGAATACGGATACAATAAGCTACGCTTGTCTGATTTTTCAAATTCCGTGTTAATGAACTTTTCTTAAATTTGACACATTAGAAATGATTGGGACACTGGCTGGATATAGCGGGGCCACTTTTGGGATACGGCTGGGGTTAGGAAAAATAAATAAAAATAAAAAATAAGATTAAGGGACAACTATGCAAATTAACTTAGTTAAGCCTTATCTTGCGGGATTTCTATCTCTTTTCTCTGTCGATCTTCAGGCCAATCAACCATAGATCACAGCAAGTCAACAACTTCAGCCCAATCTCTTCCTATGTTATGACTGTTTTTTTTTTATTAGTAACTTAGTTATTAGTTTTATATGTATGTTATACTTGGAATTATACACAAGGAGAATGTGTATGTGAAAAGTAATCTAATGCGTTTGTACTGGCAGAATTAAGCGAGTAGTTCTACTAATGGGTAACCATTTTCTTGCAGTTATGCTGATACAAGTGGTGCTGGAAAGGATGTCTATGAATTTGTACGCATTATTTCAACTGACTGTTTATCGACTTAATAGTTAATATAATATAAGTCTCACCATTTTCTTCGTCTTTTGGTTTGCTACTTTGTTGCCACTTAATTATAATAGGTTACCTGGTTTTCTATATAGGTTAAAGCCGTGGGAAGATTCAAAGAGACTAAAAGGACTGATGGAATTTCCACCTCCGACATCATTATGAGGATAGTCAAAGACTATAACCAGTATGTTATGCGCAATTTGGATCGTGGATATTCAAGAAAGGAGCTTAATCTTAGTTATGTTAAGGCAAGCTTTTTTTCCCTCTCCCTAATGCTAGTTTATTTGGTTAGATTACAAGCTTCTTGTATTCAAATAAGCTTCGTTTGGTAGGACGAGCTTTTTTAAAAAGCTCAAGCGTATCTCATAATCAAATAAGCTTCGTTTGGTAGGACGAACTTATTTCATAAGCTTCTTTGGGTAGCTTTTCAAATAAGCTCGTTGAAAATTTTATTTCAGCTAGCTTATAAGCTAACTTTTCAGCTCTTCTAAGTCATAAAATAAAAGTTCTAAACTCGAAAATCATTTATATGTTGTAAGTAGCTTATCAGCTAGTTTTACCAAACATAACCTAAATATAGTTGCATTCTCGCGATTTGAATTCTGCGTACCTAAAATTCATGCGTTATGGATATTGCTGCAAACTTTTATTCTCATCTATTTTTCTTGGTGAGGCTAATAATGTAAGATTTTGTTGTACTTTTTCTAGGAAAAGCGTTTGAGGGTGAGTATGAGACTGAAGAAGCTGCAGGAAAAAGTTAAGGAGCAGCAAGAAAAGGTGGGGGAGAAGGTACAGTTCTTGTGGCGAATCGTCACTTATAATGGATAAATATGAAGTTTTTATTATTATTATTATTATTATTATTATTATTATTATTATTATTATTATTATTATTACTATTATTATTATTATTATTATTATTATTATTATTATTATTATTATTATTATTGTTGTTGTTGTTGTTGTTGTTGTTATGATTATTATTATTATTATTTCTGAACTAAAAGTTTAGAACATGTGTATGAACTATAAATTGCTGCATTATTTTGATTTTTTACAATAAGTAACCGAAAAACTTCTCATTCTTTTTTCAAAATAAATAATATGCCTTTCAGATACAAACCGTTGCAAAAACGGCTACCATGAATCGTAACATGTGGGTCGAAAATGCCGACCGGTGGGTTGCTGGATTCCTTGAGATGTTTGAGGAAGGCTGTCATAAAATGGTGAGAATCTCTCTTTCTCTCTCTCTCTCTCTCTCTCTCTCTCTCTCTCTCTCTCTCTCTCTCTTTATTTTTTCTTTTTATGCGAGCTCTTCGAAAATCTTCTTCTTCTTCTTCTTCTTCGAAAATCGAATCATATGTGCTTTCTTTGCAACTGCTCAGGGGACAGCCATTAGAGACCGAATACAAGAGCGACTCAAGGGGCAAAGGGCTTTGATGAATGGTGATGATGATGATGAGTATTATTATGATACAGACGAAGAAGAAGAATACTATTACGATGATGAAGAATATTACGACAGTGATGAGAAATGACACTTATACGCATATGAAGGGCTCGTTTGAAATGACACTTATACGCATATGAAGGGCTCGTTCCGTTTCTTGTTTTTCGTCGTGTTTGGGTTTAGTGAGGGAGTTTTGTAGAATTAACTTGAAGTAAATTATGTTAATTTGTGAGGGAGTGTTTCCGATATTGGGATTCTGGTGTTTTTGCTATCTGTTTTACGGGAAGTTCGACCCTATTGTCCACATGTAGAATTATATGCACTGTTAGGATCACACACTCACATGCATCCACATGTAGAATTACTTGCACTGTTCGACCCAATGCATTGTAGATATATTGATTTTCTTTGTCCATTCTATACATAACACGTGTCCTTAGAGATGCTTTTTAGTCACCCCTTTATCTCCATCTCCATCTCCTACAAACCAA